TATGCAGCTATGCCATCTAAAAATGGTTCAAGAAAAGTGCCGAGGAATAATTTAAAGTCTCATGGTTGAGATGACCTGGAGATTATCGATGGTGGATTATAATGAATGTATTGAAATCGGTAAATAAAAAACAAAAGCAATTAAACAGTAAAATAAAGATGACTCGCTTTTTCGTAAAGGGAATAAAGCATCAGGGTCCTTGCAGGGCTGGGGACTGCTAGGTGAGACAGGATTGAGGGTGACGGGAGGGGATTTCGGTTGAAGAGTTAGGATACCAAAGCCGATAGAAATGGTCGGATCTTGAGACTCCTCTTTTTCTAATTGTTTGTGTTTTTGTTGCAGTATCTCAAAGGAATCAGTATTTACGTTAATTTTCAGAGCGACACTAGGCGTCGGGGGTTCAAATAGTTGGTTAAAAGGGATTGCGGTTCGTTTGCCGGAGCCAGACAGACGCTTAACAGATAAGTCGCCGAGGTGGGTGGATTTGGTTGGCTTGAGTCGTTTTGCGGCCAGTCTAGAGAAAGGATGCTTACAACCACGTCTTCTTCCTGCTCGTGGCATGTCGTCTAAAATCAGTAAAAAATAATGTACATGATAACAAATAAAAGAAGGAGCATTGATATAGCCAGTGAATAAAGAACATAGCTTAATTAGAACACATGAAGTGTACTTGAGATTTTAATTAGATTAAAAAATCTGCAATACATAAAGGTGCTAAGAAAAATATACAACTTTGGATATCGATGACAGAATATGGGGAAAAAATGCAACACGGTTGACATAAAACATTAGTTAGAATGCGCAAAACCACTAAATATCTGTGAAAGCGAAGTCGAGGCATATCGAGGGCAGATGAAAATATGAAATCACATATCTGCCAGTGATAAGCGCATCAAGGGTTTGCTACCTAATAAGAAGCATTACAATAATATACCAGGTACTAGTCTGCGTGAAGTTGGAAGTGGCAAAATGCTCTTCAAAGACAGAAGTTAAGTAGAAAATGCACGTTTTCTCAGTTGGTATATCTCTACTATGGGAATAAAGCATTACAAGCCATATGCATTTCAATGGCTTCAGAATGGCATAGCGGCAACGTGTCGCAAGATCCCATGCTCAAATGCTGAGATACAGGTGAAAAGTGAAGTGTATTTTTAGTACTTTATAATGAACGGCAATAGATAAATAGGATGCATTTCTGAGCTTATCTTCAGCCTAGTTTTTACATAAGGAATACGCATACCTTACTTAGACAAAGTTTTTAGCATAACAATATATAATACATGCCTTAAGTGAGACAATTCTTACCTGAAGAGAGTTCTGATTCAGAACCACTGGAGAGATCCATATGCTCCTCGGAACTTGTCATATAAGCGCTAGCTAAATTGGAGGTCGTTTCAGGAGGTAAAGTATTGTCCATTTTTGTCTTTAAGCTATTGAGAAGCACTTCACTTGGAACTACGTTAACGGAACCTGCATATGTGTCTGGATCGACAAAAGGCACTGGTAAATTCATTCGGTTCATGATATGGAGCACCTGAGGAAGAGTTAAGTCAAATGATGAGTCTGAGTAAAAATTAATCTGTTAAAAAGAAGATTATGGCTTAAAATTACAGGGAAAAAACGATGCTTTGAGCCAAAGCCTAGACAAACAGCCTTTGACTTGAGTAAAATATAGACTGAATTTGCTAAGCCGACTAGGCCTTGAACGTTCAAGAATGACCCTGAAATGGTTCATTTACTTCAGGACTTCTAATGGTGCCTAGCTTTGGGTGAAAAAGACTCCGTATAGGAATTGAGTAAAATAACCGATGGGGCATTGAGTACACCTGAATTTTATCCACACATATTAGTATGAAAAATAAACTAACTTACAAGGGCAAAGACAAAGAGATGAGGATCGATTGAGGATGTGTATATACATGCAGCACCGAAGAATTTCATTCGTTTAGTCAACAAAACAATTAAACGAGGTGGAGCATTATACAGAGAAATATACAGAGGCTAGTTATTTACAAAAAGATTATAAGGCAGATATAAATACCAATATGTAAAGCCAAACATCAGAAAAAGCACAGGTTAGTCAAATTTATGATTAATTATGGAAGGTAAAGTAGGATAATGTATGAAAGAATGAGAGAAAATAAAGATAATTGTACTCCAAAAACAACAGTTTCCAAAATAAATATCTGTCAAATAGGATAACTATGGAGGGGCGATGCACCATCAATAGGAATTTATTTATATTTATAGAGAAAAATAGAGCGATATTGTGTCAAGCGCAAACTTTTCTCAGGGAATCACTCAACCACACTACTTATAAAGAGCAGGAAAAAATCGCTCCAATGGTAAGAGTAATATCTATATAATTTAAATTCACCGGGCATATCTCTTTTAAATAATTGCGTGAATCAGACAGCAAAGAATAATACCCTGCAGAGAAGCAGAGATCAATAAAAAGGATACAAGTATTGAAAGATAGATGATCCAATGTTACACC